GTCAAGGTCTAATGCCTCTCTTCTGTCAACTGAAGAGAGCAGCTTTTTTTTGCTTTTATGGACAGTGTAAATTTTGACATTTAAAGCCTTGAACTCATCAGTCCATCTGTGTTTGATCCAATTTCTCCAACTTCTCAGTTTGTGAGGCGATAATTTGAGCGCTCTGTCTTTTTGATATAAGGTAATCACATGTGATCTTTTAGACAGGGAGCTGGTCGTCTTGTTAATTTGACCATTGGTGCGTGGCCAGGTCCCCCCCACACTCTCCTAAATTAGGCCGCTGCCTGAAGAGTAATTGCTGAGCCACCATGCTTCAATGCGCTCGACCTTTACGACCTTAAAAGCCATTTCCATTTTTCGACCAGAAAAAAAAGAACATATCTTGTTAATTGCAAATATTCTCCCTCTGCAGCTTTCCCATCCCCTTCCACCATATTTGATTTCCATTTGAAGGCAAAATGCTGAAAAGCATTTTCATTTTCATTCATCAATGCTTATCAGTCATCTCAAGGCCCTTCAGCAACAATCAACATCACAGCTCCAACTGAGAGAGACACAACAATGAGAAACTATCAACAATTGCAAGAAGCAATTTGCTTTAATATAGTATGTGTTTTGTTGCAGCTAACTACAATATTTTTAATCTTCTGACAGCTCGCCTCTGAATCTCTCTGAAAAACAGAGGGAAGTGCCAAAGTGTTTCCCTTTCAGAGTTAAATACATCATACAGGCTGATGAATGAGGATGAGAAAAGGTGCTCATCATATGAGATAAAACACAGTTCTGTTTCTATCAGATGTTCATCAACTGATTAAAAAAATGATAAAGGCTTGTTAAAATGTAGCTTGAGGCAATGCACCAACTGATGTAACACATTATCCATCTGTCCATTCATCTTATTTAATCCATTTCAGGGTCATACAGATAATAAATACATATTTCAGAACATCCGGACCAGGCAGGTATGATCAAGGGAAGACACCCTTCCACTAATACATGCAGGCCGATGGACCTCATGGACTATTTTAGCATCAACAACTTGGAAACTCTAATTTTTTCACCAGATGCAGATAAAGCATTTGATTGGGTTAATTCGTATTTCCTTTTTATAACCCTAACCAAAGTCTGAGTTTGGTTAATCCTTTACAAAATTATGAGATATTGTATAGTTCAACAAATGCATTAGTTAAGACTAATGATCAAACTTCTCCAACTTCCAGTCTGCAGAGAGGTAACAGACAAGGTTGCCCACTTTCCCTGTCACTCAAAATGTCTTAACCATCAAGCAGCTGCCATAAGATATCAAAGGCATTCAATCCCAAAAATATTAAAAGTTTCATAAGCCTTTAAGCTGATTATATATATAATTTTTCCTTACTGCCATTTCCTCGATGCCATTACTTGGTAATTGTAACATAGTTACTCTAGCTCTGAGTTCATTGTTTTTGTATTGGTTCTCTCCACCCATCTCCTCACCTGCTGTTCATTAGCTCATTTTGTCTTCAGTATTTACACAACTCCATTTCCACTTGATCCCTGCCTGTGTTGTTCCGTGCCAAGCTATCCCGCATTCTCCTGTTCTGCCTTCTTGTTCTGACCTCACGTTTGACTTTGGATTCCTGCCTGCCCCTTACCGGATTTTTTGGCCTGTACGACAGATCTCCTGGTTTTGACCCTGCCTGTTTTTGGACCTAGTAAACTGATTTTCCCTCACAACTTGCCTGCCTCCTGGTTGTGCTTTTGGGGTCTCTGTTGCCTGTGGTCGTGACAGTAATTATCATTTCCCCTAGGCTTTCAGAGATAACAAAGCTAACATTACATTTAGCTTTTAAAGTAAATAGAAGATGATCTTATGGTGGAAGTCCTTCCATATGTCAGTCACGGGGAGAGTAGCTATAAAAATTATAGTCCTTTCCAAAGTGAACTACCTGTTTTCACTGATCCCCAAAATAACATAATCTAACTGGTTTAAATAACTTAAATGTTGTGACTACATTCTGGCATTTCTATGGACTTTGATGAACTAGACTTGCTGAACTTTCAGCATTATTTTTGAGCTGATAGGTAGCAATATGTTTGAAAACGGTTTTAAGATAACCCACTAGATGAACAATGACTAGATTTAGAACAGATATTTAGTGATAATTTCCAAATTTTTGACATGCCACTTATTTGTTTTAGCATTAAACATGTTAAATGTTTTAAAAGCATCATCTGCTCCTCTGACAGCCTGCAGGGAGATTCGTAATATAAGGAAATCCCTAGTCTTTCCATGTAAAATTACAACCATCTGGTACATCCCTAACATCCTGCAAAATAAAAAATGTGGAACTTTACTAACTGGAGAAATAAAGCATTTGGAACACACAATCCAGAATAGCGACTTTAAGAATTTGGATATATAGGATTATAGGATAAATAGCATCACATTCTTAGAATATAAATATAGATATAAACAACTCTTCTTCAGGCTGTGCAAACGTGTTTCTTTCTGCTCCCTGCCTTGACTTTTTTGCCTGCTTGCTATCTTTGTCCTGTTCTATCTCAGAGCGTCTTTCTGTATTTTCACTTCCTAAAGCCTAACATCAACCATGGATTTGGTTGGCTGGTCACTCAACGCAATTGACAACATCTTTTCTACTCAAAGACAAGCAGCAGGGGCTGCATCTTGTCCAGCTGGGACTTACCCTGCAGGTTACTTGATGGATGCCTGGAAGAGTTGGAGGGTTTTATGCTTTTCAGTTCTCTCCATGGAGGAAGTTGAGGACCTCTACCTATTTGGATTCACGATAACCTGGTGTCTGCCGATTGGAATTGGCGGATACCTAGGTTATCGAGAGATTCGGAGGCTGATTGCAACTGGTGGCAGGTTGGCCATCGAGCCCGGATCGAGGCAAACTAACAATTTTGACTGAATTGGAATCGTCATTGAAAGACCTGATGAGGACTAAAGGAAGTCCTCGAGAGTGGCCTTGCAGCCGCTACTCTGCAACTTTGCCCTGGATGAAACTGCAGATGAACGCGTTGCCCACCCCACCCCTTCCCTCCTCCAAAGCAGAAGTGTCTGCATCACAAGGACAAATTCCATCAAGCCTGTGGATTGCGGACCTCCAGCTTGCTTACACTTACACACACACAAGTACAGACTTCCCTCAGCCCTTGGACTTACCGCCTCACTGTTACCTTTCCCTTTCCTTCCAACACTCCATCCCTTCCTCCCCATATGTGTCCTTGATGTTGTGATTTGACTGTATCTGTGCTTAATTGTATTCTGGTGTTTTTTATAATCAATGTTTCTTTTCCGATGTATCTGAAGGGAAAATGGGCTGCCCGACACTCTTCCCGAACCCTGTGTGTCTATGTGTCTGTTTCTTTGATAAAGTATATTGATTGATTGATTGATTGATTGATTGATTGATTGATTGATTGATT